AATGTCTTACATGTCCCAAAACTTATATGTAATTTTCTTTCTGTTAGCAAATTGTTTAAAAATTCTTATTATTTCATTTTTTTCTCTCCTTCTGATTGTGTTTTTCAATACCGGAACTCGAGGAAGATGACTGGAACTTCTAGATAAATAAATGGGTTGTACTACTATGATGGAACTGATTCTGCGAATGAAATAGCTCAATTGCGAATGAAATAGCTCATGGATTAGGTAGTACAAGTTCAAGCTTTGACTATGATCAAGTTATGTTATGACATAAAAGATTAGGGCATCCTAATTTTCTATATCTCAAATCTTTATTTTCTAAACTATTTATTGTGAAGCGTGTATTTTATCTAAAAGTCATCGTGTTTCATTTTCAATAAAATCATATTCTGCTTAAAAACCATTTTATTTGGTGCATGGTGATGTTTAGGGCCCATCCAAAGTTAACAAAATTTTTTGGAAAAAAATGATTTGTAACATTTATTGATGATCACACACGAGTTTGCTAGGTGTATTTATCTGAAGTTGAACAATGATTTAAAGATTTTTTTACATGATTGAAAATCAATTTCAAACAAAAATTGGCATTCTAAAAACGAATAATGGGACTGAATATTTCAACAAATATTTAAGAACATTTATTTTGGAAAAATATATCCTGAATCAATCTACTTGTCGTAACACACCACAACAAAATGGTACTAAAAGGAAAAATAGGCATTTACTTGAAGTTACCAGGGCACTTATGTTTTCCATGAATGTTCCTAAATATCTTTGGGGTAATGCACTCTTTACCTCCTGTTATTTAATAAACAAAATATAATCTCGAGTTCTGGAATTTAAAACACCTTTACAAGTTTTAAAAAATTATTTTTTCATATCTAGAATAACAGCTGATCTCCCTTTAAAAGTTTTTGGATGTGTTTGTTATGTGTGTGTCTCAAATGCGTTTCACTCAAAACTTGATCCCAAAGCTGAAAAATGTGTTTTTATTGGGTATGCTTCCAACAAATGTGGGTACAAATGCTTTAATCCTGTCAAAAAGAAATTTTTTTAGTATAGATGCAAGTTTGTCGAGGCTCACCCGTTTTTCAAAATAATTTTCTTGAGTAGAACTTAGTTGAAGAAAATATTTTTTGGGAAACTTTACTCGAACCCATTTCTTTAACTAATTCAGATATGAAAATTAGGGTCAGCACTATTAATCCTATTTTGTCATAATCCTCAACATGAGTTGCATGTTTATACTAGGAAGAAATTTCATAAAGTTACTACAGCCCAAGTTATTCCCTCTCAGCAGATGTTCAATCAAGATGTTCAATCACCTTTGCCGAATAATGGCCCTACAACTCAGAGTAACATTCCCTCTACTTTCACTCTTAATCTTGATCTTCCAACAACTTTCCGAAAAGGAATCCGAAAAAGCACGAAACATCCTATCACATAATTTTTGTCATATGGAAAACTATCAAAAAATCATAGAGCATTTGTGTCTAGAATTTCTAATATGCTTGTTCCAAGAACTATCCAGAAAGCATTAGGTGAACTAAGTTGGAAATTAGCTGTGATGGAAGAAATAAATGCTCTTAAAAGAAATAACATTTGAACAGTCATTGATCTACCTAAAGACAAAAAGACAGTTGGATAAAAGATAAATAAGAAATGCAAGTACACTTGAATAAATAATTATCTTGAGGGGCCATAGTCGATGGGTCTTAAAAAGTTGGAATTTGTTAGACCTGCACCTAAAGACAAATTTGTTTTTTATTAGCCTAGGGCAATTTAGTTTTTTTCTATTTATAATGGCATAGTATAAAATAGGGCTAATATGTTTAGGGTTAAGGATATGCATGAGATTAGGTCTTAAGTCTTAGGGTTAAGGTTTGGGAAAGACTTCCTACCTCTCGAATCATAGAATTTGGCAGAGATTCTCTCCCTCTCAAATTTTAGGCACTTATCTTTTATGCATTCGTGTGAGTGTGGTGTTGTATTGTTTTGATTTGATATTGGTGAAATGGAATATTTGGTTTTAACCTAATTCCTATGGAGATTCCTATCAAAGTGGTATAAGAGCATTCGGTTCTAAGAATCGAAGAAGAAGGAACGAACGAATGGAATCAAAGTTTACACTGAGAAGTAATCACAGGAAGTATCACGGCATATGGAGCGCTTGATCTCTACACACAAACGACAGAATCGTGGTGTGTCATACAGTCGCTGAGAAGGCGGCGACGGGATCATGTCTTGCACCTATGAAAACTGGTGGGATTCTGAAACCTGGGAAGCGGATGTCGATACTTGAAGTAATCTCATATTTGCGGTTAGTAATCCAATTGAACATTGAGACAATGCTTGTGTTGAACTTGCGTAAATCTCATCAATAAAACGTTATGTGGAACCATGGATGCTTGAAGTTAATGGAATCATTATTGAAAGCAACAACCATAATATGATCACTTCAATTCAACAGGTTATCACTAGGATAAATTGGGAGTTTTATCATCAAGAGATGGAAGCATATGATAAGAAGAATATAGTTGCCCATACTTATACTAAAAAAGATATACACAACGGCTTTTTTTTTTGGTCAGGAATGTCGATAGTTCACATTTTTTTTTTCCTTTTTGTTGATTTTGACAGGGCCCACATTTTGATGGGCTAGGTCCCTTTTATATTTTGTTCTTTTGATATATTAATGCAAATGCACATTTCAAGGGAAGCTGACGTCAAGACTTGTGGCGTACAAAGACCTGAAACTCCCATCCTTCCAATTCGAAACTCATGGATATAGTTGCAATAGTCAAACAAGCTTGTGGCATTGCTTTGGCATATCATAACGGGTCTTTCGCGATTCGAGCTAGTTGGGGATAATCGCAGCACACTGGTAAAGCCATCGACATGATCGCAGTTGCCTTGCGATACAGTCGTAATTCAATAATTGAAGCTCATGACATAAAGGGTATGAATGTCGTGACATAGTAATCCAACGTTCATATCATGACGTACAATGATCAAACATTACTATACAATTACAATTTGGGATACTCAGGGTATCAAAGCCAACGACAGGATCTCAGCGCACAGGAGTTCCTCCGTCGTGATTGAAAATCATTCTAGGAGTAATGACATTAACAAAAAAAAATCGATGATGATATCTTTCTTATGGATAAGACTAGAAGAGTTCGAGAAAAACTTGAATTATGGAGGAATACATTAAAGTCTAAAGGCTTTCATTTGAGTAACATCTAAATCTGAATACATGGAATGTAATTTCAGTAGTATTTCTAATGGCAGAGTTGTAACTGTCTGATTAAATAATTAAAAGTGTGAACATTTCAATTATTTTGGGGATATTGTTCAAAGTGATGGTGATATAGATAGGGATGTTATTAGTAGAATTCAAGTTGGTTGGTTTAAGTGGAGGAATGCATCAGGCTTATTGTGAGATAGAAAAGTACCGCTTAGACTTAAATGAAAATTTTATAAGATGGTGGTGAGACCTGCACTGCTCTATGGCGCAGAATGTTGGCCTTTAAAAAAAAACATAAAACAAAGTTAAGTGTTACAGAGATAAGAATGCTTAGATGGATGAGTGGCTTGACACTTAGAAACAAAATGCGAAATGAATATATTGTTATAGGGTTGGCGTAGCTCCAGTGTCGAACAAGATTAGAGAGAGACGTCTTAGAAGGCTTGCTCACATCAAATGTCGATCATCTAATGATATGGTTATGAAAGTAGATGTTTTAGATCCGACATATGTTAAGAAAGACAGAGGTAGACCTAAAAAGACTTGAGTAGATTGTATAAAAAATGATCTTAATCTATTAAAATTAAATGAAAATATGACACTTAATAGAACGCAATGGAGAAAAAGATTTCATGTAGCCAACCCCACTTAGTGGGAAAAAAAACTTTTTGTTGTTCTTGTTGCACACAAAGGCGCTCTATACGCCACTAATTGCACAATTTTAAACATTGATGTAGACCTTCAAAAAAAATGAAAATAAAAAGACACTTCACTCTGCTCTTTTGATTGAGAGACATAAGAAAGATATCCCCAATTCAAAATCTATTGGAACTATACTCTTACAAATTCAAGAGAAGTCGTCTATTTTAAGTAGAAAAAGAAACGAAAAACCCAGTTCAATATGACCATTGGATGTCTATTCTACATCAAATTAAGGGTTTATGAAGTTAAAAGCCAGTCCCAATGTCGGCTGAAGCAACACTACCAAATCAAACCAGGTTCTGCTACATATTGAATAAGTCATTGGTTCACAACATTGCTGACTCTTTATGTGATGCAGCCAAATTACATAGAAGCTTAAAGGATCATAAAAAACAATAGATATAATCAAAAGCCCAGCATCCTCTGGTGCTGAAGTAAAAAAAGTAAAGTAGCAATGTACTAATAGGTATAATCAAAGCCCAAAACAAAATAACTATAATAAAATCCCAATATCCTCTACTTGGAATAATCAAATCACAGCAAATCCCACATCACAAAATTAATGCACTATCAATCAGCAATTCAAAATTTTCATAAAACTTAAAACTAGGAAGAGATATCTCATATCCTAAAACTTGGCCAGGATATGAAAAATATTTGCATATGGAAATTAGCATGACCATTATTTCTTTCTCGACTTTTCTGAAATAACAAGTTTGATGGTTGCTGCATCCAATCTTTACCACCAACAAATTAATTATTGTACACATGTTTAATGCATTCCAACATTTTCATACATGAAACCAAGCAACAACGTAGAGAAACAAAGTTTATGAACCACTTACTAGTAGAAAAGAGGACTTACATCCTAAGGAAAACTTCAGCAAGTGGAAGAAAATAAATGAACTTGGTTTGCAACAACTTTGCATTGCTTCCACAACTTCAACAAGTTCTTTTACTCAAAATCTTGTAATGAATGATTCTTGTGATATTACATACCACGAGACAACTATAAGAGTTCATGTTCGTAAGTGTTGGAACTTACCAGTAAAATTGCCTCAACGCTCAGCCGCATACCCTCTTTCATATAGCTAAATCAAAGAAAAAACAAGTCAAATCAAAGGTAATAAGTCAAAGCTTAGAGTAAACTAAACTAAAAAGTTTGCACAAATAACTTAATAGCTCCAAAAAATGCTGAACGAGTTTAATGGTAAAATATAAAACTTTATACATATATTTCTCAAAAAGAATGTATCTTAAAGTGATAACTTTTAAAGTAGGAAAAAAAAATAACTCCAACCGATCATATCCATCGTCAAATAGACAAAGAATTTCAAAGACTCATGCTGCACTTTCTCGTGAATGTGGATTTTCCTGAGAAATAACATATTGTTATTTTGGGAAGAACCACTAGAAGATGCATCCTCTTCGACATATATTATTAGTCTGCCTATCTAGCTCCAGCAAAATGCCAATTGGAGTGCATGTTTCTACTCCATTGAGTAATCAATCCTCACAACAATAAGCTAAGTAAACAAATATCAGAGCTCAACCCAAAATCCAAAAGAGCAAGAACACGCATTCTTATGGCATTATAATAAATATTACTAAAGACCAAAAATTCATAGTTCAAACGTATCCAATAGAAAATCATGATCACAAAAAGCAATATCATACAACAAGAAGGATTATAGTTAATAAAGCTAAAAAACTAAAAAATTCTAGTGCAAAGAGATGGCCTGGACATGAAATCTGTAATGTTCAGCGACCAAGAGATCCTGACTAAACAATAGATCATAAACACATAATGTTCTCGGTGGAGCTAAAATTTTCATAATATTCCAGTCGAAAATATATGCAAAAGCAGACTAAAACACGTATGCCTGCGTCAAAGCCGCACGGACCAATGAACTATTAAATAAGTTGACGCCATGTTGATACAAGAAGTTATAATGATAAAACTAGGACCTTTTTTTCTGCTGTGAAACCCCATGAGACCGTAGTTTGCAAGGAGATGAATCAAAGAAAACATGAGTTACGGTCGTCCACGAGAGTATGAACAAGTTTATACAGAATACCCTAAGCTAGGGTTTGGAGGAAAAACTTACTTAACCTTCATACGAGCTAGACGGTCGGCGACGGAAGTGTCCTTCTCCATCTTCGGTTCCTTCATTCCGAAAGTGTAGTTAGAGAGAGGATACGTGTTTACCACCGGCGACACCATTTTTTCGCCTGCTTTCCCTCTCTCCCCTATAGCCCGTGCTTGCGTCTCCGTCGCCGGAAAAGAATGGCTGGGCAGCGTCCGTTAGGCTCATAAGTTCAACATAATTTTTTTAATCTATATTTATAGTTCGATTCAAAAATCGATACATAATTTCAAATCTTAATTTTTCAATTTTATATTGTAATTACAGCCGTTCTTCTTTTTAAAGCTAAATAAATTCTAAGAAGTTTAAACATTAACCTTCAAAACAAAATCTAATAGCTAATAAAAAATTCTTGACAATAGTGATAAATTATTGTATTAGTATTGCATATGAATCTGACACACACTCAAATAATTAGTGATGGATAGAGACGCCAGAAATTTTTACTTGTAAAATCTTATATATATATATATATATATATATATATATATTATATATATATATAGGACAGCTTGCTTTAAATAATGCACTACATAATTGTAAGTGCATAGGTTCACTTTTTCTCATGAATTAGGAAAAATAGAGTTAAGAGGTTAATCATCATCGATGTACAATAATAGTTCATCAAGAATAGTTATAATTTGGTTCTAGTTCACGGCGATAGTTGACTGCAAGGGCCAGAATCAGTTGTTATGGAGGCTATAGTTCAACATGAATGTTGTTAACGATGATTGTAGCGCCAACTTGTCGTAGAGACTATAATTGAAAACCATGGTAGAAGTTGGTTGTGTGGGTTGAGAAGGTTACTTCAAGTGTTTTGATTGTACATAGAGGTCATAGTGGGGATCAACCCTTGAAGGTTGCAGAGGCTAGAGTTGCGTGTGTTGAGTGTTTCGTAGGTTGTAGTTGCCTGCATAAGCTATAGCAGGGAGCTATAATAAGATTATTGGACCGCACAGGCCAGAGTTTAGAGCTGCATAGACTATGAGCTATATATATATATATATATATATATATATATATATATTAGTGTTTGACTCGTTTATATCGAGCGAAAAAAGAATCTTTGTGTTCCACTTGTTAACTCATCTAACAAATCGATCATGAGCTTCTTAACAAGTTGAGCACGAACTGTTCGTGAATAACGAGTCGTTTTACAGCCTTAAATGTGCCTCATGAATTATCTCCTGTTGAAATACTTCCTAGTTTAGAACACATAGTCGATCCTGAAATCTGAAAGTGTTGTCCTACTCGATACTAAGCTCGAGCATCGATCCCATATTTCTTTACTCAATAAGTTGTAGTAAGTCTGCATTCATTATCTAAGTTGCACGAACCTGCCCACAAGTGTGGTCTGAATTGACAGTTTATGCATGTTAGGATTAGCTCATATCGATATTATCTCGAGTTGGAGTTGCTCCGTCTTCCATGTTAACTCGTGCTCCGAGTTATCATCTAAGCTACATAGGTCGAAGATTGATGCTTTAAGTATTCATGACCACATTTGTCTTACCAATGCGGTACTAAATCTCTAAATTATAGTCCTTCATCAGCTTTTTATTGTCAGTGAAGAACTCACAACTAATGCTAGTAGTCCCTTCAAATATTTAGCGCAAATATAATTGTGACTAACTTCAAGTCATGGGTTGGATAATTTCTTTCATACATCTTGAGTTGTCTAGAGGCCTAAGCTACAATTCTACCATAGTCTGTTAGAAACACATATAAATCCTTAATGTGAAGCATCACTGCTGATTTGAAAATTCATTTATGTTAAATGGAACGGTAAGAATTTGGGCCATCACCAAGTAATTCTTGAGTTTTTTTAAACTCTACTTACAAGCATTAAACCAGTCAAACTTAATGGCCTTTACCTTGATAAAGGTGTGCCAATACGAGACAATCCTTTAACAAAATTATCATAATATCCAACTAATCCAAGGAAACTAAGAATCTCTGTAATAGTGCCCGACCTCGACCAATTCATTATTGCCTTAATTTTTGCAGGAACCAAAAAAAATCAAACTACACTAATAATACATTCCAAAATTTCACTTCTTAAAGCCAAAATTTACATTTAGGGGATTTGGCATAATGCTTGTTCTCTCGAAGTGTATTCAGTGCTGCTATGAGAAATTTGATATGCTCCTTTTCATCCTTGGAGTAAACAAAAATACCATCAATGAACATAGTGATGAATTGATCCAAGTTGGGCTTGAAAACTCTATTTATCAAATCCATAACAGTAGTAGGGGCATTAGTCAGACCAAATGACATGACTATAATTTCATAGTGTTCGTAACTAGATTAAAAAATAGTTTTCAAAACATCGTTCTTTTTTATCTTCAATCGATGATAGCCGAATCAGAAATCAATTATTAAAAAACATTGAAGGACCTTGAGTTGATTAAACAAACTATATATATGAAACAATGGGTACTTGTTCTTTACAGTTACCTTATTCAACTCTTTATAGTTGATGCACAACCACATGCATTCATATTTCTTCTTCACAAACTGAACTAGTGCACCCCAAGGTGAAATGTTGGGTTGGATGAATCCCTTATAAAGTAATTCTTGCAACTGAATCTTGATCTCATGAAGTTCCCTAGTGCTCGTCCAATATGAAATTTTAGAAATTAGAGTGGTCCCCAGAAGTAGGTCCATGGTGAACTCGATCTCATGTCCTGGTGGCAAGCCAAACAAAAAAATTCAAAAAATATATCAGCAAATTCTAGAATTGGTGGATTGCTATCTAAGCCAACACTTGATTTTTCATAATCCAACACTTGAGATAGATAACCAACACACTTCTGGAAGATCGGCTTATAAATCATAATTGTCAAAATTATACAAAAATTAGCTCCTATACTACCCTTGAAACAAAAAGGAACTGAGTATGGTATACAGAAGTTCATCCATCTCTTATGACAGTCTATAATTATTATAATTGCATGATATAAAGATAGTCAATACATACCCAAGATTACATCACACTCAGCTAGTGAGAATGCTATGAGAATAATGGGCATATGCATGTAATTGATAATAATGTCATAATCACGAACACACTGAATAACTATCATGGGCAAGCTAGATGTCATAGTGATTGATAGACATGATTGTAATGAAGAAATCAATGAATTGGATGCAAATTTATTTGATTTGAATGAATATGTTTCCCTTGACAATTACTTTAAAATAAAGATAATATCTATCACCACATTAGTTGTTTCATGAGCTTCTTCCAGCATCATAACAAATGCTTGAGATGGAATCATTTGTTTGGGATACTCCAGAGCTTGAGATCACTAAGGGTGGTACTACATCATTAAAGAGTGTTGATACATCATTGACGGATGCTAGGGTTGATATTATTGTTGTTATTGAGATGCAAGAGAAATGGGTTGATATAGTTGAGACACCACTGCTTATTGTGGTTGTTATTTAGGTTGAAAGTAATTTTGCTTCGCTTAACTCTTTCCATTGTGCTTCTTGAATTTACCTCCACTTGAATTATGCCACTTATTCTTGTGATGAGACTTAGAATTACTTTTTTAGGTATATATCACTTTGTGGTTGACCTTGAACTTTGAGAGGACAATCTCTAGCTTTATGGGTGGTACTATAATAGTTGAAGCATTTGTCGATGACCAAGTTACAAGTTCCAGAATGTCATTTCCCGCAATGAACATGTCGAGGATTTATTTTTGACTTTTGTGTCGAGATATCCTGATGTTGCTCCCATTCACCTAGGTGTTTTAATTCTTCCACTTTCCAGCATGTTTTTCCTTCCTTGCTATGATATCTATCTCGGCATGAATTACTCGATCCACTTGCTCTTTGTAAGTCACCCACTTGAAAGCCGATAAACACATATGAATGTCTTCTCTCAAGCCAACAAGCCGATAAACCTATATTATTAACTTACTTCAGATTTTAATTTTTTGGTTATTTCGTAAAGTTCTAGCATTTTATTTGTCAAAATTTTACACAAATTAAAATCTGCGAAAATTTACGAACTTTTGATGGTGTAACTTTTTATATGTTACATATTAGACTATGTTGAACAAATCAACATAAAAAATATTTATTTTTCACTATGTATTTTATGTTGCACAATATTTTGTATATTTTAGCATGTGTCAGACATGATAAATTTGTTGCAGAACAATAAATGCTTAAAATATTATTCTAAACATTTCATATAAGTGGTTTGGTAAATTTTGCTTATCGGTATATGTTGATTTATTTCAACGTAAATTATATTCTTTAACATGTTGTGATATTTGATATGTCAAAATTTTAACATTTATATGCTTTTGTCTAATAAATATGTTCAAAAAATGATAAAACAAATGATTGTGGTTGTGGTTGGATGGTTGTGTTGTGTGCAATCAAGTAGAGTTATAAGAGCTTTTGCACTATGTAATTATCTATTTGTGTGTTTAATATGCCTAAACAGATGTGAACAAATCGATGTATAAGTGGAAGTAGAGTTCTAAGAGTCATAGAAGAAATATGAATAAATTGAGTTATAAGTTGAAGTGAGGGTATACAATTCGAACGAAAATATTAAAATAATTTAATAAAGAAATAATTTGTTTACTTTCATGTTAATTTCTTGCACTTGTGATATTATGTGTTTATATTGCTACTCAACAAATGCCTACTACAGTAACAATTTCTTGTATCAGCGCTGTGATAGATATTATACATGTTGTTCTACCACTTTTGATTAATTTTCTTTGAATACATGTCTATTTTTTATATCGAAAACTACAATAAATTATGGGTAGCCTACATAGCTTTGGTTGCTCATCCCTATTTTACTTGCAGATGTTATTTAGGAAAGAGTAAGACTTGGATTGAGTATATATTTTTGGAGTGAATATACATGCGTTCACTGTAGGGAGGTCTCATTATTTTTTTAATGCATGTGACTTTCACTGTTATTTGCATCGTTTCATATTTATAACTATCACTAACACAATTTCACATTCATAACTGTTCGACTTCGTCATATGATTTTTGTTATGTCATCCCAATGTAATTCGGCCAACCGACAAATCTTGGGCGTTATTTCATCAGGCAGATGTCGAATCACTGTAATCTGACATGCAGTCTTTTTTCGGTCAATAAATCTTCATATAA